ACACAAGCCATCAAACATTGGCACCATTGGTGACGGATGTGACGCTCCATGCTAGAGGTACAGAAGAATGGCAATTCTTTCTCTTGAATTACAAACACTTTATTTAGCATAGGGCCAGATTAGAATGACATCCCAAGTTTTTTTTTTTGGGTAAAAACGGCTTCCTGGTCATATTATTCTACAAAAACACATGATCATTTTTACATATGAAAAATAAAAATACAAGGGAAGAAAGATGAGGACAAAAAACAAATTGGCAGTGTTTTGGGACAGCCGGCTTCCAAATAGGGCATTTATAAGGACAGCAAAGGGCTGGGCTTATTCTTCATGGACTTCATCAGTCCCTGGGTTTGATCCAGGCGTAACTCATTTGTTGGGAGGGGATTTTAAAGGAAATGAGAACAAGCTAATACAATAGGCAATGACGTATCTATGGGGAGATCCAACTGTACTATGGGGAAACTTATTTTATAGGTTCTGGTTTATTAGTTGGGTCGTGATTATCTTCCCAAATATCCTAAAAAGAATAAACCCGGTGGGGAGGGACTCCTGGGGGGGGAGGCGGTTGCGGGATGTTGCAGTCTTCACATGGGGGGTAGGTTGAGCACCACGATCCTGTTTGGCCAGCTCCACAACATAGGATCGGGTCGGAAGAACTTTTACTTGATGGGCTTACACATTCCTCAACTGAGACCTGCCGGGGACCAAACAAACAGGAGGTCAGGTCATGCAAAAAGGAAGGAAACTCTCAACGCTTCTTGGGTGCAATAAACCGGGGGGTAGAGGGAAAAGGCTCACCTTGCCCGCCTTCGGAGTTTGATCATGAACTCTCTGGCAGGTGAGGGAGCAGGTTGGGGGGCGTCAAGGGGGGCCGGATCACAATACTCTCTGTCCAGGGGGTCGGCCAGGGACGATCTGGAGCGGAAATAGACAAAATCTAGGCATTGCACCCAAGGGGAGAGGGAAGGGAGCGCAATGGCAGCTGGCTTATGTTCAACAAATGGAAACACAATCAAATGGTGAGCTTTAACAAACTGAGTGGACACTTTTTAATAGAGGCTCCGACCTTTCACTAAATATCTGATTCAGTTGCAAGTCTGTCACATTGTTACAGAGTCAGGAGTGCGTCCATCAACGTCATGGAAGAAAAACAACGTGCAAGTGCGGTCACTGCTTTATTTTGTGACAACACTATGCAATGTTAGCAGTTTGAATAAGAAAGATTCAAAGGATTTATTGTCATACACACGGTAGCTACTGTAGTTATTAGGGATCGACCGATATAGCTTTTTCAAGGCCGATGCCGATACCGATTATTAGTAATCAAGGAGACCGATAACCGATATACATTTGCAGTAAAATCAGAAAATCTTGGTGTAAAAATGTAGAATAACACAACTTCTTTGAAATGCCTTTTTATGTTTAATGAACTTTTCAACATCTTAAAACTGGTTTCCTCTCTGTGAGCCTGAGTAAAGTAAATTAAGTTAAAATAAAAACTACTAAAACTTGTTCTGAACTTCTGATATTTGAGTCTCACTCATTTAGTAGTCCCACAGCCGTATAATAGAATATATATATATATAATTCTCTCCATATGGCGCTGAGTAGTCCCAATTCAGCAGCACCAGATTGTGGTGCAGAAAGCAGAGTTGCTGCGAGGCTCCACTAGCAGCCGTCACAATCCCAGTGGGTCACAGTGAGTCACAGTTTCTCCGCTGCGAGACGCTACCCGCCCCCCACGTCCTTTGCTCAAGTAGAAGTACAAATACTCGTGTTTAAAAAGACTGGTAGAAGTACTGACTAAACTTCTTTACTCAAGTAAAAGTAAAGAAGTATGGGCTTCGAAATGTACGTAAAGTACCCATAACTACCAACTGTTATAAAGAGTAACTGACCTCACTTTATATTAATAGAACAATAATGTCATTGTCAGCTAATGAATGTTTTGATGTTGAACAACGGCAAAATGATAAAGTTGTCATTTGTCTTTCTTGCTTAGAGAAGACCAGGAAATGATGGATACACTGATCGTGTTAAAATCAATAGGCACGCCATGACTCTAAATAATAAATAATAATGATCAAGCCACCAAACACAGATTCAAAGTAAAGTAACCAGCCTGTTTTGAAAATGTAAGAAGTAGAAAGTACAGGTATATTGTGTTACAAATGTAAGAAGTAAAAGTAAAAAGTCGTCAGAAAAATAAGTAGTAGTAGTAGTAAAGTACTGATACCAGAAAAATGTACTTAAGTACAGTAATGAAGTATTTGTACTCCACTACTTACCACCTCTGGTCAGCACAAGGGCATCATTTGCACCTTACAGCCTGATTATTGCATAATTATTTGTGGGTTTATTGTGACCGTTCTGTCACGGGGCTTCGTTTGACACATTTGATACGGTTAAGGGGTTTGTGCTTTTATCTACATTCTGAATTATTTTATGATCTGTATGTTTGAATAGGTTTCCTTCCCCTCTGAATCGTTTGTATTGTAGTAATAACACGCAGGGACTCAGACACTTTACTGTTTGAATGTAGGCTTAGTTCATGTCTCTCCTCTGTCCCTGTCAGCAGAGGAATATTACAGATTAATTCATTTGCATAGGATTTGCATGAAGGCATGTGACACAACGGCTTGCAGACACTACAACGGAAAATAATTTGTAATAATCAATCAGCCTTCAGTGGAAGGGCAGCCGATTACAATGTGTGAAGTTAGTCTGACATTAGATCATCAGAAGCTTAGCCACTAGATATAGCAAGAGGACTTTTAGTGTCCCTGTCTACCGTGGTTTGTTAATCATTTGTGATACATTTCCCTCTGATGACACATTAACTACTTTACTTGAATGTAGGTTGGAGGTGATATTGTTAAAGTAAGTGCCAAAGTCAGATTTGAAAGAAAGGAAATATGTCGATCCCAAGGTGTTTGCATTACTCTGCGATCACCTTTCAAAGTGACTCGTCCCCTGGGATTGACAGGAGATGTTGCAAATATTTGTGTGTGGTATTGGCAAATATGCAAACATGAGGATGAATGTATACACGTATGGCTGTAATTGAAGACTTGGTTGAAACTTGTTTATATCACAGTAAACATTAACATGTTTTAGAGGAGGGGGAGGATTGTATGTATATGCACAACCAAGAACCTCAATTAGGTCATATATTTTTCCGTGGGCCTTTGTTCGTCAAACTGGGATTAGATGAACAAGGAAAGAGGTCTATTGTGGTTGGGCAAAGATCCAACATGGGTTAAGTGGTTACATCTTTGTTTGTTTGTTTTTTGGTTTGAATTCTTAAGGTTGAAAGTGATCAATTTCATTCTGCACTGTTTGTACTCAGCTTATCGCTTATTTTACCTCTTTCAAGGATGTTTTGTTTCTTGGTTTGGTTTGTTAACAAGCATGGTTACGGAAGAACTAGTGGCCTGACTTCTGAGGTGCTGCATGGGCCTAGGAAGAACCCATGCATTTTGGAGAAGATTTGAATCCATTGTCCGGTATTTTTATTTGATCTGAAATCTCTATTGGATGTAAAGTTTTGGCACATAACCAAACACTCTCCCTATTCTCTACCCTATGAAAGACCTGTCTGTTACCCTGCCAGACAATTTGATATTCAGGAGGCTACATTGTTAGAGAGCCTTAAATAACAGCATGGCCTTGGCCGTTGCTGTAAGTACACAACAGATCAATTTCAATTAGGTGTACATTTCAAAGCCAAGGACTTTTGAACTGCCATCCATTTTGATGCTGCTCCATTGGCCAAATGCATTTGAGGTTATGAGGTCGTGGTTGTGAGAGAGGGAGATAATGGCACCAGCACTCATGTTGACTATTATGTTGCAGATTTAGCCAGTCTATTTCTGTTGGCGTAGCTTCACACATGCCCACTTTTACGAATAAAACTCATTTAGTTCCTGGTTTGAAAGTCACGGTTTTCCATATCGAGAAATCCATAAAATAACATAAGCATTTGTATAGTAACTTGAACAATTCAATGTGTCCTTTTAAAGTCTGCCTCTTTTTTCATTTTTAAAACACTGCCAGGACTTAAGTTCTTGTTTACAGTGTGTTGAGAGTCCATTAGCCAGACCTTGGATAAATGCCTGGACGAACGCTTCATCTAATATGGAACCTGAGCTAGTAGATGGCAGTTTTGAGGGATTCTTATTAGGGCTGCACAATATATTGATTTTTACCGTGATCGCAATGACAAGGTGCGTAACAACCTCTACGCATAAAGATCATGATAGTTCACTCTGTGATATTTTTGAGTTAGATAAAAGAGAGATGGGTAGATATTGCTCTTCGAAACATTATCGGTGCCTTTTGTATTCAGTTTTAATGTTAGATATGTTCAGCAAATGAATGTTTTAAATACTTTCAGTTGTTATTTATCTGAAATGTGTTGTAATGTTTTGCTGTCTACTGAAAGCAGTAGAAGGGCTGAACTTGGTACTCTTCAATATCAGTTCATTTTTTGGCAATTAATTTTGTTATCGCGATATTCAGGTCAAATGAGTTTGTCCGGGTGTGTGAAGTCGTCACTGAGTCTGTGTTTCTCTTTGTTAGCATTATCATTCTCCTCCCTGTGGATTCTTTCGCCCAGACTCATAAATGTCAGGATGATTGGTGTCGCACTGTAGCTCGACTGTGCACCAAGAGAGAGACAGAGGAGTCCATGCCCGGCCCCCAGCCAATCACTGAGGGGGCGGCAGCCAATAAGACAGTTGCAGATAGCCATGTATGTAAATGAGTCTGACGGGGGTCCAGACAGCTGCTTGGCCGAGAGCTTGCTTGTTGCAGACTCCAGCTGCTGCTGCCTCCTCTGTGACAGCAGAGCAGACCCTGCGCACACACACACACACACACACACACACACACACACACACACACACACACACACACACACACACACACACACTTAGTCAGGATGTCAGCTCTTGTAGTGTGCATAGTGGGATCAGAAGCAGTGTGTGGCCATGCTGTGGCTGACCAACCTCCTGTCCCCCGCAGGGTGAGCTCGGACCGGAGGAAGGAGAAGTCCAGGGATGCAGCGCGGAGCCGGCGTGGGAAGGAGTCTGAGGTTTTCTACGAGCTGGCCCAGGAGCTGCCCCTGCCCCACAGCGTCAGCTCCAGCCTGGACAAGGCCTCCATCATGAGGCTCATCATCAGCTACCTGCGCATGAGGAAACTGCTGAGCACTGGTCAGTAGCTGTTGCTGTTGTTGTTGTTGTTGTTGTTGTACCTGTCAGGACACAAATTTGGGGCACATACGATTTAAAAAAACAAAAAAAAAGAAGATAATTCTGGACTTCATTGATGATTAAATTCTGTAACCATTGTCATTATTATCATAGAGGCATCCTGAGAATTGACTATTTGGATAAAGGTGCCAGATACTACATTAAAACATGTTTTTGACCCACTGGGATAAAACAGTGTCATGGGAGGAAAGCAAACCCTGAATCAGCTGTTCTTCTCAGAGACACATGCTCAACATAGATCTCTTACCTGTGGGTAGGGTGTTTTTCTGTGTCGCAGTGTCCTGCCTTGTTCTTTTCATGTGACTTATCTCTTTTGTTTTTGTTTTTTTCCCTATCCCTCCCCTCTATGTTATCTCCTCCAGAAGAGCCAATGGCAGAGGAGGAAACAGATCTCGATGCCCAGCTCAACGGCTCCTACCTAAAGGCTTTGGAGGGCTTTCTCATGGTGCTGTCGGAAGACGGAGATATGATCTATCTCACCGAGAATGTCAACAAGTGCCTGGGGCTGGCACAGGTTGGTCCGATTTGACCTGCTGTGTCTCAACAATAAAGAGACCGCAGAGGAAAGAGTATAAGATCAATGGAAAATGGAGTCAGACGCAGAAAATAAAATATGGTTATTGTTAAGGTTATGTAAGTTTTTACAGATTCTGTTCAATAAACAGAGAAATACACATTAGGCCTTTAATTGTAAACGTTTGAAAGTTGCCACACTGTACACCATTACTGAATCAGCTGCATGTACCAACATGGACTAACACTCTGCTCTCTCTCTCTCTCTGCAGTTTGACCTGACTGGATACAGTGTGTTTGACTTCATTCATCCCTGTGACCAGGAAGAGCTGAGGGAGATGCTGGTGCACAAAACAGGTGAGAGACAAAACAGGAAGAAATACAAATAACTCTCAACTGGCAAACTCAGACCAGGAGGCTATCGGAACAAGTTATTTTTCCCCACTTCAGTCCAGAGGCCAACGTGATTAGAGTAAGGTTGGCTAGTTTTTGGACTTAAGTGACCCAGCTTCACTCAACATTACTGTAACAGAACACTCCATCTCTGAAACAATTCCTTTTTTGCTCACACAACACATTTACATTGTTTTGTTTCAGTGATTTAGTTTGAGTACGGTTTTTTTTTCTTCCAGGGAGTTCAATTATGTTTCTTAGCAAAACTTTGATGTGAAACTGATTAGGATAAAACCTCCCAGCTCTCCCCACTGACGTTTGCTTTATAACAGAATGTGTTATCAGCACCTGACTGAGACCACATTTGCTTTCCTCCTGTGCCATTTAGCAACGCTGATATTATCTCTGCTACAACAGCTGGGTACTTCACTTCCTCTTTTTTTTTACCTGGCTATTGGCTAAGCTTACCACATTGTTTCACAGCCTAATGTCTCCTGAGAATGCAAATGTGAACTGTTGGCAATTTAAAATAAAAAAACAGCAATTGATTCGGTCAGCATGTCTTCCTGTTTGTGTGATTTCAGGCTCTAAAAAGACCAAGGAACCAAACACAGCACGCAGCTTCTTCCTCCGAATGAAATGCACTCTCACAAGCAGGGGCCGCACTGTGAATGTCAAATCAGCTGCATGGAAGGTAAGGCCCTAGAGGAATCGGTGAGAAAATGCTCATTCCATGAACACTTTGCTCAGTCTACCATGTGCTAGTATGTTTATCAACACAAGGGATGTGAGTGAAGCTTATCAAACTTCATTCAACCACAGTCTGACTCAAAAGTGGTAAATATTATCTTTCTGATTATTTTATTTAACTTTTATCAATGACGTGAAAGGCTTCCTTCAGGGTTGTAGAGCATGTCAAATCACGAGACTGGATAATGACAGCTATTGTGTTTAAAAGCCACTTCCCACTCGCAGCCTTTAAGATGGAAAGAGAGCAACTAAACACATACTAATATTTTCTTGTTGAAGTATTTATAAAAATAAAATAAAATCTTGTTGTATTTGAATATTGCCTGTAGGGAAAGAGTTAGAAATACTGAAGTTTAAATGCAGAAACTAGAGTAGCGGATGTTTTAAAGCAGCAGTAATCCAATAACCCTAATGTGCAAAGGAAATTAGAACATTATACTTGTCCTAATACAAATGAAACCATTAGTGTCTCTGTTTGACATACACATATAGGAAAGTGCATTCAACCCATATTTTAACTGGTAATTGACCTAATAGAAAAACTGTTGAGTAAGTATGAAAACTTACGACTCAAAGGATTAACCCACCATTTAAAAAGACTAATCTTCACTTATTGGCAAAGCCCTAACCACAAATGTATCTCAGAGTGCTTCTTAAATGTCTTTTACAATTGCATTTCCCCCTACACAAATTAAAGTATAGAAAAATTGAAAAGAAAAAGTCAATATGTTTAGACAAAATACTAAGGCAACATAACTGAGGAGATTTCAAAGCACCCTGTATTTGAATGTATTTATTTATCCAGGAAAACTGTTAACGCTCAATGGGGTCTGGGAATGGTAATAGAAGTGTAAAGACCCTCCTGTTGTCGCCCTCCAGGTGCTCCACTGCTCTGGTCATGTCCGTGTGTATGACGGCTGCACTGAGGAGACTCCCAACGGGCACAAGGAGCCCACAGTCCCCTACCTGGTTCTGATCTGCGACCCCATCCAACACCCCTCCAACATCGAGGTCCCTCTGGACACCAAGACATTTCTCAGCCGCCACACAATGGACATGAAGTTCACCTATTGTGACGAGAGGTGCGTTGGTCCTGAGTGAATATTGCAAATCTTAACGTAAATGTATTCAGCTGCTTCAACCAGCCGTGTACTTTCTATTGGGCTTCATTGCCAAAGCTCTCACTAACATGGTCACACAGAGCCCCCTAGTGTTCAGTAGAAGCCGAGTGTGAGTGAGTGGAGGAAATAATTTTTTGTTTGCTTGTCCAGGATCACTGAGCTGATGGGTTATGACCCGGACGACCTGTTGAACCGCTCTGTGTATGAGTACTATCACGCTATGGACTCAGACCATCTTACCAAGACTCACCACAACTGTAAGCATGAACAACATGAGTGCATGAATTCAATCTTGCTCTTAAATCCACAACAAACCTGTTCTTTTTGCTAAACCTTCAGCCAAATGTCTGAATCTATCTTTACCTCCCTTTTCTTTGCTTTTAGTGTTTGCAAAGGGCCAGGTAAGCACAGGCCAGTACCGGATGTTGGCTAAAAGAGGCGGCTTTGTGTGGGTGGAAACACAAGCCACTGTCATCTACAACAACAAGAACTCTCAGCCACAGTGCATCGTCTGCCTCAACTTTGTGCTCAGGTACTATAAAGGCTCTTTGAACAGTATTTCAGAAGAGATTGTAATGAAGTCAGCTGTTTAGTTTTAGGTGAAGTGAAATAGCTGGTTTGTACAAAAAAGACATACATACTACAATTTCTTTCTGTATATTTTCAGAGCCTTTGCACTCAGAGAACCTAATCCTAACATAACTCTGTTACAGTGGCATCCAGGACGAGAAACTGGTCCTGTCTCTGGAGCAGATGGAGGATGTGAAGCCAGTGGACCAGGAGGAGGAGGAGGAGCAGCAGGAGGAAGTGAAGGCTGTGGTGGAGATCAGGGAGTTGGACATGTCCCCAGCCCTGAAGGAGGTGGAGGAGAAAGGCCCAGAGCTGGATGTGATCAAACTGTTCACTCAGGCGGCAGAGGCCCAGCCGTTTGTGAGCCTGTACGACCAGCTGAAGGAGGAGCCGGAGGCCCTCAACCTGCTGGCCCCGGCTGCCGGAGACGCCATCATCTCCCTGGACTTCAGCTGCCCTGGTTCGTGGCCTCATTTACACACAAACACACTCTAACCCCTCGTCCACACCACAAACATATCACACATATTATTCACTCACACGTCTCACGCAGAAGACACATACGCAGGAATACGCGAGGTTGATGCCAAATTAAACAATACTACTTTTATTTAATTTATTGTTATTTATGCTATTTTTTCCTTTTTTGCTGATTATTTATTAATTGTATTAAGTGTGGGGCACTTCTTTGTTTCAAAATGGTTCAAGTTCTTTTTCCACTGTAGGTCTGAATGACCATCATATGCATCCGTGTTGATGTAAAAACAGATCAGGAGTTCCCACACATTTAAAAAAAATAGACGGTCGCTTTAGAGTTACTTGAAGTGACTTTTGCAGTCTAGACTATAGGCCCAGTATAGTTCCGATAGTTCTTAAAATGTTGCGTTCACACCAAGAAGATCCGGAACTAGAACTTAGTTCATGAGAACCTTTTCACCCCCTTTTCAGTCCCTGCTAGAGAGCAGGTACTTTCCTGGGAAAAAAAGTTCCCATTTCTGAGTCCCAGCAGCTTNTGGGACTACTAAATGAGTGAGACTCAAATATCAGAAGTTCAGAACAAGTTTTAGTAGTTTTTATTTTAACTTAATTTACTTTACTCAGGCTCACAGAGAGGAAACCAGTTTTAAGATGTTGAAAAGTTCATTAAACATAAAAAGGCATTTCAAAGAAGTTGTGTTGGAGTTTGTGTTATTCTACATTTTTGACACCAAGATTTTCTGATTTTACTGCAAATGTATATCGGTTCCAAATATCGGTTATCGGTCTCCTTGATTACTAATAATCGGTATCGGCCTTGAAAAAGCCATATCGGTCGATCCCTAGTAGTTATGTAAACAAAGTGTACATTTTGAGTTGTAAACAGATTTGAAGAAGTTGATTGGAGTCACACATTTAAAACAAAACCGTGTAAATGAAAGTGGCCTAGACAATACTTACTACCAGTGTGTTATTATAGGGGCTGACCTATTCATGTTCTCCTGTCAGTCCTGCTCAGTGAGATGATAGTAAACACCGTCTTATCTGTTATATAATGCAGTTCGGGGTAACACCACACTATCCTTATATGGGAATACATGTAGAGTATCGCTGAAAATAAAACCATTTTACAGACAAATAAACCATGGGCATACATTTAATACATGAATGGACATTCTTAAAAGCAGCAGAGTATAATATCACCAAGGCATCACAAACATGCTTTGAATATTTTAGTGGATAATAAAATCAATAGGGTTCCCTATTTTAGAAGTGGGATAAAAGAGCAACAGTAAGCGCTGTTGCAAGATATTTCCTTGTGTTTAGCTACTCAATAAATCATCAACCAAGAGTAGCGCTAGTAACTGCACCTAGGGTTGCCATTATTTTGTCATGTGGGAATAACAGTAAGGAGCCCTTAAGGGAAAGACATAGCATATGAGGTAGTAACAATTATCGACAAAAAACACTTGTTTTTGAGTCACTATTACTGCAGTTTTGGGAGTAACTGGCCTTTGTCCAATTTTACGTTACAACAGATTACCGGTTTAAATGCTAAGCAAATCAGGTTTTTGTTTATCCCCATACTAAATATATCCGCTGTTGAATTTGATATTTTCACAGTTCATCAGTGGTAGCTTGAAGGCTTACATGTTTAAGTTCACAGTACACAATAATAATGTACTACTTTCAAAAGGAACTCTTGTCCATGTCCACTGGGAGGTTTGGTCCTGGATAACACACTCTAAAGGACCACTATTATAAATCATTCACTAAGCTAACATAACCCAAATACTACTACAACTGATAACATTGGGCCTATCAGCACCCACCAAGTCCACAGTACACCCTCCATTCTTAACAAAAAGAGCCTCTCCTTTGAGGGTCGGCTAGTCAGACTCAGCCAACAGCTTTAACAAATCCGCCTGCATCGGATAAAGTGTTTTACTTCAATTAAAAATAAATGTAAGTTTTTTTACCCTTAAATTGGCAAGGGAAATATAGGGCTCAGGGAGACCATTCAACAATATCAGATTGTACACTTTAAATCATCTTTGCTACTGATCGTTGGCCTGTTTCACAAAACATACATTTCATTTTAAAATGGCTTACTTTGAGCATGACTTTAACATTTATTTGTTGCAATTTGGTATCATACTGTAGTTTACAGTTATCGTAATTCATAGTTATCATTATTTGTTGACTAACAAAGGCATCATGCACAAGCCCCAAACCTTAAAATTAATATAACATAAATCCAATTTAAGTATGGACAATAAGTCCATGGCAAAAAGGAAAGATTAAACACTGAATTATTCAATTTGGGTACATTTTGAACACTGAACTAAGGGCACTGGCAAATGCATTCAACAGGAAACATTTTTTATGTGCAACATATTGCAGACATTATGTATGGAGATATGATGTTAAAGATGTATCAGTACAAAGATAAGATTTGAAATCTTACTGCACAAAAAAACCCGTAAAAGTATTTTCCGACATGTATCCTTTTGAAACGTTATCCTCCAGTGAAGAGCAACTTCTCAGCGCAATCAATCAGTCCTGACAATTAAAGCTTAGGAAGTTTAATCAGCTTTTTTTCCATTATATATCTTGTTGGCAAAACCTTCTCTATATTTATTTTTCACAGTAACATGCAAACATATAGAGCTATATGGAAAATCCACAGAAAGCACGGTGAAAATAATGCCTTAAGAGCACATCTCTGTCTTCAGCCACAAAAGCCACTTATCTCAATAAAGTCTGCAAACAATCAATACCAATTCCCAGAGGTACAAGTTCTGACTTGTGCTCACAAAACTTCAAACAGGACAACCTCCAGATTGCCAGGCATCCCTACACACATTTGGCCACTCCTATTGACGTCAAACCCTAGTGATTAAGAGATGAGACAGAAATAATACCTCAGACACCGGATAAAACTGCATCAAACCAGACCACATCTCGAAAATCACCGCATGGATGAAACCTAGCAAATATTTATTGAAACTACACGGGATGTTCAACTTTGAAAACGATATAAAGTGGAATTTTTGTAATTGGCTTATAGAACAAGTAATAGATAAATACAATAGATCATATTCTCACACATTCTCACCAGCATTTACTTGAAACTGAAAGGACGATAGCTAAAGTCAACTATTAAAATGGGGGGACTTTTAATTGCATGTTATTTTATGTTTTCAAGGCAATCAGTTTATTGATTACACCATGTCAATATTTCAAATGAAAACGACCCTACTCTTTTACATTACGATGTAATTGATTGAGTGAAGCTTGTGAATGTTTTCACTGAAGTAGGTCAATGTACACCAAGAGGTCAACCTAACCCCTAGATTCTACCGGGTCCGTCTGCGCCACGGCGGTCACAGCGATCCCGGCAACTCTAGTCAATGGGTGCCATTCCACCAGACACAACGTTAAGGCTAGAACGGCCCCTACACACGGCGGCGTGCATTGACGCTTCAACGCTTCTGCCCATTCACTTTGAATGGGGTGACGTCACGCTTCGCCGAACTGCATTGTGGGAGCAAAGCGTAGCTTTTCTCGCGGTGCTCGCTGCAAAAGTAGAGCAATGTTCTACTTTTGAAGCTTCGACGGAAGCGTCAGCCAATCGAATCATGTGCCAGTACAAGCTCTAGCCAATCAAACCGCTGCTTGTGCGTCCGGGGCGGGAGATTCAGGTGATTGGTTGTTGGTCTAGTTTCAGACATGCCCGCCAGCAAGCGACAACGCACGCCGCTGGGTGAACGGGCCGTAAGCGTGCCACAGTTTCGCCGCGCTGCGAGGCTCCACTATCACCCCCCAGCGCGTGACATTTTCTCCGCTAAAAGAGTGTGTCTGTGTGTGAGGAGCTCCACGGATTGGTCCATTTGGACCAATGGGTCCATTTGGGTCATCGTTACGTCCCTTAGTACCAGGAAGAAAAAGAGAAATCTCCAACGAGCAGGGTAGGATTTTCACGGCGGCCATGACGGCCATAGCCCCTCGGTCTGGTCGTTATGCCCCACAAATAATTGTACGTCCTACGGCCACCATGGCCTGTGTGCCCCTGATACTGTTAAAATCTCGAAGTTGCTTTAAAAGCGACAGAACAGTGTTTTCTGAACTGCATTATGCTGCGTTCACAACGGACGCGATGCTAATATTCTCATCGCTCAACCGCTTGAATTTCACCGCGGCTGTCAGCTGTGTTTACTCCTGTCTTTCAAACAGGACGCGCTGGAGAGGGGGCGGGGCTTATTTCCATGTAAATACTGTGGTGGAAACCAACTACAACAAAATTAACCTATTTTACAGTGATTTAATTGTAATACACGTTTCAAAATGATGCTGAAGTAACTACATACTGATACCGGTTAGAAAAAAACATGAATTATTGCTTTGACAAGTCTGCAGACAAGACGGCGAGCGAAAAACCTTTTAAAATGCGTGTTTTCTGAATGGATCAATCAGGCTAAACTCACCTGTATCTGCTCCGTCCACACTCACAACAACATCCTAAAGACAGAATTAATGCAGCGATTGTATTCGCCATGACAGTCTGTGGTTTTGTACAATGTTCACTTTTTCTCCAGGTTTCTGAACAGAGCTGGGAGGAGTTGATTAAAGAGACTCTCGTACACACACACACACACACACACACACACACACACACACACACACACACACCACACACACACACACACACACACACACACACACACACAACACACACACACACACACACACACACACAACACACACACACACCACACACACACACACACACCACACACACACACACTTCACTGTGCACTGCTCGACATTGATGTACAGACCGTGCAGAGTTTGACCCTGATAGGCTGTTTCTCTCTGCCTGAATTGAATATATTTGTTACCCTTTAATAGATTTTAGATTTTTAGATTTTAATTTTGGATTTGTGAATGGGAGAGTAGTAGATGGAAACCATACCAGAACACATAATTATCAAGTAGAGTATTTAAGTATTTATATACGGTATACAAGGAGG